ATTGCTTCACCCAAGAAGTGTTGCATCAGAAACCTAGGTTTCAAGCCCCATATTTCTGAGGCATGCAGCTGTAACAGGTACACACAGGTTCACACCGGTGCAAATACCTAGCATAGACATGCCACACCATTGCAAGCCATGCTGGCCTAAGTCCATTTTACAGCAGTTGGGCAGAACTATAGCAGCTGCTTCAATGCTGACAGACTTTCTCTCAGGGCCTGCACACCACATCATTTACAGCTCTGAAGCAAGTACAGAAGGGTACAAACTAAAGTTGACAGCACTGACTTGAATATAACTAATTCTGTGTGGTGCCAGCCCTAGAAACCCACTGCATTTCACTCCATCAGATAATAGAGGAATATTGCTACCAGCTGTGCTGTGACACAACCATGCCTTCACAAACATATACACAAAAGGCTGCGAGGTGGCTGCAGGTTGTGGGGACGTGCACTTACAGTTAGTTCATGGACCATTCAATTAATCTACCCCTTTTTTTTCAAACTCCTAAGCTGTTAATGCCAGTTAAACTCGCATCACTATCAAACATCTAATAAATTTTAATCTTCAAGGAATCCACTGAGAAAACTTCCCATAACACGTCACAACAGACACAGGGCCTTTGGTGCAACATGTCAAAACTGCCACATACTGCAACAACTACGAGAAGCAAGCAGAAGAGGGCAGCAGCGGTCCAATGAAGTGAGCAACACAGCGAGTTGTTCCATCCATAGCATTCGTTTACCTGGGCTTTCCCAGCAGACAACAGTCTGGGGTAGGAGAACAAAACAAAGGAGACGGGGATGGTACAGTGTTATAAACACCTCTTACTGTTGCTTTGTAACAATAGTCTAAAACTCTTATCAACTGAAAGTACTTTACCTGTATCTCACAATCTCACTAGCCCTGTTCATAGCAACATCCTTTGAATTCTGCACAATTAAGATAAAACAGGAGGAAAAAGGACCAAATTTAATCAACTTACAAGATTCCAACTAGTTCTTGAGATTAGTTTCCAAGCATATGATATTTTATTCCATGTTGTTACATGCCATTTCTCTTACTCCTATCCATAAAAGCATTCCTTTAGGATTATTCTACCTAGTTTTGCTTCATACACATCAAAACACTGTTCTTACAATTGTGTTGCTAATGAAAACATTTTAAAGGATCTCAAACCCATCCTTAGTAACAAAATTATTAACCTTAATGATTTATATGGTTACAGTCCCTTAATAAAAATTAATAATACAAACTTTTGCCACCTTTCTACTCATTTTTGTAAGAATTCATTTATTCTGTATCTTAAAGCAGCAATTTTCAATCTTTTTAGATTACTTCCTTTTTTTTCACAGTTTCTTTTTCCTTTGCTGCTAGTCACTCACACACACCTTGGCAGCCCTGAATGACACTCCTGATATTTACCAGCTGACCAACAATAAGATCACTAACATCCTCCCATCTGTGTCAAAATTAAAATAAAAGCCAGTAGATGTTGATGATATCCCATCTTCAAGATGTGTTTTCTCAATTATAAGGAAGGATCTTATGTGACCTCTGGGAAATCCCTATATAAAGGGGCCTGTATCTGAAACTTCGCTAAGTTTTTCATACATGCCCCCTCCTGAGAGAGTATTTCCCCCTACACGCTACCACAGTCAGTTCCAGGCATGGAGCCACAATCCAATTTTCTCTAGCTAGGCTTTCCCTTGTCCCCACCCTCACTAGAAACTTGACAGTTTGCTAAACCCAACTTTACACCTAACAGTCCTCTCCACAGATTGCCAAGAATTTCTACCTTGTACACTCAAGTGAAATTACCTCTTTTCTATTATCCCTTGCCAGAGCACGCTGATACATCCACTGCCCTCATCTAGCCTTAGCTGTGGAGACAGCAACTGGGAATGCAATTCTGGCTACTCACACAGCAAACATACTCTCCCTGTGCTCAACTGCTCTCAGTTTTGTGTCCCTCATGCTGCTTCACATTTTGAGAGCCATGATCTCTTGAACTACAGCTTTTAAAGAAAGCAGTGTCAGACATCAACTCTTGACAAATCACCCATGTAGCACGCATCTAAAAACTAAGTTCATAAAGTCAATGTAATAATCAAGTGCATATAATTACTTTCTTCTCCACAATAATAGTTAAGGCATTGTCTACTTTTACCACAAGACTAATAGTTTTGCTTAGATCACCCTCCCTACAAATAAAGCCAAAAGACTAATGTACAAATCTTATGATACTCAGCAATTTTGATTCTTCCTTGCCAGTGACAGCTCCTGCATGAGCTAACCTTTAAACCTTACTTCTAAACAATTGCTGGATTAGACAAACTTGTTGGCCTGCTTGACCTCCTCTCAGATGGAGTTGACCAAAGAGTGGAGATAAATCTATACAGTCATTATTGACTAACATATATATTCAAGCAGATAATGCTAAGAGATTATAGTAATTAGGTCCAGAATTAGATCCAATAAAAATCAATCATTGATCTTCTACATGGCATGATTAAACAGACAAAAGAGCAAGATAGTTTGGTGTTGAACACCTATTGTATAAATTATTGTATAAATTTTTAACAAGACTGCTGTACGATAATATTTCTGGGCTAAAAACAAATGGTTTAAGTAGTTTCTTAACTGGCTTGGCCAGTAGCTGTTGAGTTTTTCAACACACATTTTCTTCTCTAAATTCCTTTGTCTCAGGTCCTAAACAGGGATTAAGAAGAAGCATAACCTATCAGTGAAGGAACAAAAAATCACCAATTAGTAATATTTGCTGATAAGAAGCAGCAGCTACATCCATATAATTTTGTTACTTCTGTTATATTTTTCATCTTATGCCACCAGGTAGTTTGTATTGGGTTTGCATGACAACATTTTGGTAGCAATGGGGCTACAGAGGTGGATTCTGTGAGAAGCTGCAGGAAGCTTCCTCCATGTTCGACAGAGCCAATGCCAGCCAGCTCCAAGACAGACCCAATGCTGGCCAATGCCAAGCCCACCAGTGACCATGTTAGTGACTATGAGGCAACATATTCAAGAAGGGGAAAAGTTACTCAGCAGGAGCAACAGCAGCCAGAGTAAGAATACTGTGAGAGCAACAGCTTTGCAGACACCACAGAAGGGACTCACACTGGAGCAATTTGTTCCTGAAGGACTGCACCCATGGAAGGGACGCACACTGGAGCAGTCTGTTCCTGAAGGACTGCACCCATGGAAGGGACCCACACTGGAGCAGTTCATGAAGAACTGTAACCCATGGAAGGGACACATGTTTGGGAAGTTGGTGAAGGACTGTTTCCTGTGGGAGGGTTACCACACTGAAGCAGGGGAAGAGTGTGAGCAATCCTCCCCTGAGGATGAAGGAGTGGCAGAGATATGTGATGAACTGATCACAACCCCCACAACTGTGGGAGAGGAGGTAAAGTCATGAGTGAAGAAGGAAAGGGTGGAGGAAGGCATTCTAAAATACAGTTTTATTTCTCATTATGCTCCTCTGATTTGGTTAGTAATAAACTAATTTCCACAAGTCAGGTCTGTTTTGCCCATGACAGCAATTGGTGAGTAGTATGTCCCTGTCTTCATTCAACCTGTAAGCCTTTCGCTACATTTTTTTCTCCCCTGTCCAGCTGAGATGGGGAGTGACAAAGCAGCTCTGGTGGGCATTCCCACCAAAACAAGGTGGTTTTGTTTTTTTGGGGATTGGGGGTTTTTTGGAGAGTATTTTGGGGTTTTGTTTGGTTTGGTTTGTTCTTTTTTAAGAAAAAGGGGGAAAGAAAAATCATACCATTTTGAGCTGGAATCCTCAATTGAATTCAGCAATGTTGTCCTATGCTGACATCAGAATTTTCAAACATGTCTCAGAAGCATTAGAATGCTTTAGATAATCATAAGCTTCTTTGATGCAACCATTTATAAAGCTTTCTCCTCAGTTTTCATCCATAATTTACTCTGACACCAGAAGCACAGTCCCTAACCTAATTTGGGCATTACAGCTCACACGTGCAACTGTGTCCTGGGTGCTAGTCCTAGTTTTTCCCAGCACAAACTCACAAACTGCACATAAACCTTTTAAATCCTGGTAGGCAAAACATCAAAATGAAGAAAGATCAAAGACAGACAACATATTTCCTACTACTTTTTTTCTGAAAAAGACATCTAAATTTTCAACATCTGGGAGTGAATCATCCATCTCTTCTTTCACATTGATGTTTATACCAGAGTGCTTTCAGTAAGCTCATTTATATAAACCCAGCCCAAGAACTATCAACAGTGTAAAAAGGAGAGAGAGCTCACATCCATCAGTACTTGAAGCATTTTTTTTTTATTATTATTATTTTTTTTTTGCCATTAGCTAAATTACAAAACCTATTCTGGAAGAACTTTTCTCTAATTTCTGTTCATATCCTTCATGATATAGGTCAGGAAAGAAGAGGCCAGTAATCTAGAATGGATGCAAGTTTAAACAAAATCTGAAACAGTTCCCATATCTGTAATCTATCCTGCTCACTGAAACCCCACCTCATCTTCCCTTCCCAGATTCTATCTCCCCTTTTCTGTGAACTCCTGTGACTGGGAGTACAGCACAAAGTATAAACTATGGGGGAGTGAGCACACAATCATCCTCAAATGTTTTGGTTGGTTGGTTGGTTGGTTTTTTAAGTGTAATATTTGTAAGGAAGGATCGCCTGAAACCTGCCATGGTTACAATCCTTAGGGCCATAGGATTTTGTTGCCATTATCTACTGCTAGTTAAACCAAAATTTAAACATTTTAACCGCAGTGTCCTTCCTGGGGCTAATTATTTCACGGTCACTTCAAAAGTGCGTAAGGAACACCTGAATTATCTTCAGGCTTATCTAGTGACTGTTTGGAGTCAGCTGGACTTAGATGCTGGACAGGACAGTTCACGTGACTGAAGTAACTGAATGCTAGCAAGGGAAAGCAATCTGCCGCTGGCTAAGCTGGGGGTGGTTTTGGCAAGTTACGGACAGCAGCTTGGCACAGGTAACACAGCACCCTACAGTGACCTGAAAAAAGAGAAGGTTAAGTACAGGAAAGCCTCCCTCATTTGTACTCCTTTTGCTACCCCTTTTTCCTTGTGAGAAGATGATGGCTTTACTGATAAGATTCCCTGCACTCCCACTCCCAAAACCAGGGAATCGATACCTGCAGGAAGCCACTGCACTCACCCTAGAGAAGCATCACATGCTCAAGTGACACCAGGAGTGCTCAGTAACCATAAGCAATCACAAGCACACATATGAGGCATCTGCCTGTTTTCCAGCACAGTGAGGACACTCTGTTTTGACCGTCTTTTTAGGGCAGTTTTTATTCATCAGCAAAAAACTGAAGCAAAACAACAAAGTGTTTCTCCAGTCTTGCTGCAAATACTTCCTATAGCCTTTTTGTATCTGTGTGTTTGAGTTGCTTCAGCGAGCCTCTCTTTCCTTTTGCTCTCAGACCTTCAAAGACAATATTTAATCACTTTTTAGCTGGGCTTATTATTCTGCCTGGTTCTTAGAGGCAGGAGCACAGTAGTACAACAAATTAGTATAAAACTAAGCTGTCCTTCAGAAAACGTTATGTAGAATACTGTCGTGTATGTTTCCTCTTGGGTACAATTTATACACTGCATAGAGCAGGTGGAATAAGGGAAGTAACTCGACTCCTTCCTAAGGTCATCTGATCAAAACACAGAGCAGATTTGCAACCCACAGTCAACACTGCAATTTAGTTAATTTTGTGATCTTACTTTGTGTTCTTTTACCTCAGAGAAAACAAGGCATGCTGACCTTCAAGTAGTACCATGTGAGTATCACTCCTGTTTCCACAAAAACCTCAAGCTAACGGGATCCTCAATTAAGCTAGAAACAGATGTTAACTTCCAATCCAAAATTATTCTTCTATTTTTGTTACTTTGCTCTTAACACTAAAATTATTTAAATTTATGCAGTTTACACTGAGACACGTTCTTTTACTCCAATTTTGGTTGTGCTCAGCAGCAGAATGGGTGAGCACCATTTCTCACCAGGCTTCTCTCAGAATTCGGTTACCCAATGCTCGCATTAGCTATTATGCCCACCACCACATTAGAGGGAAGTGTCGATCTCCCACCTTGACCCTGAGGCTGGCCGGGAATGTAGTAGTGGAGATGACAGGACAACACAGTATGGATTTTCAAGTACATTTCTTGGGTACTCAAGGTATGGATGGAATGCATGAAACTCCTGTAGCCTCATTCATGGTCTCAGAAGTTCCTAGTGTTGTGACAGCAACAATTTACTTCCATTCTTTTTAGGAATTTGGAGGCTGCTGCTTGGCTGTGGTATATACACAAGGAAGAGATGAAGAAGGGGCCTCAGTAGTAACATCTTCTGGCAGGTTTCACCCCACACCATCTCGCAAACCGACAAATCGGCTGGCTTCCCAGCTTTCCCCAGAAGGGAACCGAAGCCCCCAACACCATTCCGTGGTCAGTTGTGCAACCTGAGCGAACGCCCCACTCACCAGAAGGCACAGGCGGTTCGAGCACCTGCTCCACGCATAAGCCCACCACCTGCCATTCCAAGGGCCGTACAGGCGGGACGGGAACGCGAAGCGCATGGGCTGTGTGTGTGTTGCGTGTGTGCGGGCATTGTGGAGGGTAGTGCTGTACAGGGGGCGTGAGGGGAGTGTGCGTGGTGGAGTCATAAGGGTTGCATGGTGGTTATTAGAGGGGTATTGTAGGGAACGGGTGCTGGAGGGGGGGGGTGAGGGAACGTGTAGGGGAAGTGTGTGTATGAGGAGGAGCACGAGCCGCGGCGGGGACGCGCAGCCGGACACTTGCCCTGCGGCCGCGAGCATCACCCTCCCCGCGCGCTCACCGCCGCCCGTATTCATCAGGCACCGCCCCCCGGCACCTGCCACGCGCAGGCGCAGCCCCCCGCGGCACCTGCCGGGCGAGCAGCCTCCCGATGCACGGGGAGCTGCGGTTAACGGCTGCGCTGCGGCCCCGCCCCCCGGCAGCGCGCCCCGCCCCAGCCCCACCACAGCCCCGCCTCAGCCCCGCCTGGCCCAGCGGAGTCCGGCGGCCGCCACCGAGCTATGGCGAGCGCGGAGCTCCTCGGCGCGGCGCCGGAGTCCGGAGGGGAACGTGGCGGTAACGGGTGGGAGCAGACGGAGGCCGTCGAGGAGCGGGGTGCGGCAGCCCAGGATACGGAGCCGGCCGAGCTGTCAAGCGGGGCCGCGGCTCTGCTGGGGGACACGGGTCTGGCTGTGATCTCCTGCATCGCGGCGGCGCTGAGCTGGGAGCGGCCCCTCCACAGCCTGGGCGGCTTCGTCTGCGCCAACCTGCTCTTCTGGTGAGCCATACCGGACGCGGTGGGGAGCGCAGTAGGAAACCCTCCTCGCAGCAGAGGGAAGCCCCAGCCCGACCTCCCATCGCCGCCCCGCCCGCTGACGGGCGCCTCCCCACCTCTTCCCGCTCCTCCGCGCTGCGCTTGTCCTCTGGGAAGATTGTTTGCCCCCACGGCTTCTCCCGTCCCGGTCCTTTGAGGGGAGCTGACCCACTGCCCCTGCGCATCCACGGGGAGGTCTGGCGTTCCTCTTCACCTGCGCCATCTCTCCTGCGCCCGGCAGCCGCGCTGGCGCACGATATAGCCCTTGGGTTGTGTGCATCTGCGTTACCGGGTTCTTGTGTGCCTCTGTCTGCTCTCCCCTTTTTCTCCCCCTTTCTTACAGTAGCAAGGAGCCGCAGAGGAAGGCTGACCTGGGCGGCTGCGTCACGCCCTGCCGAGAAGTTGCTTTTCTTGTAGCTGAGATGAGCGATGGGCCTGCGTTTCTGTGCGGAGTTTTGAAACCTGAAATTAGGCCTCGAGCCGCAGTCAGCGCTGCGTTTCTGCCGTGGTCCATTACCTCAGAGTTTATTAAGGGTGTGCGTGATTTTCCACATTGGTGGCCTAGTTAGTGGGGACAGCAGGAATGCTGCTGCAGTGCACCAGTTCTATTTCTCGACTAAGCTTTTTCTACTCAGATAGTTTTGTTGGATAAACCCCAGAAATTAGCCTAGGGAAGTGTTCATTGCACTTGTAGCAACTCTTGTTTCTTTCTTTAAGGAAAAAAAAAAGTGTCTTTCTGTGTGAAACTTCTTCAGGACTTTGCCCTGAACTTATGTGTTGGTGATGCCTGTGATTTTTGTTTTCTGATATAAAATGTTGCTGTATGCCTGCTTGCAAAGAGGCGAGTTAATTGCAAACTCCCGTTAGTTCTCTATAGCTCTTAACAGTGTGATGTTTAAACATGAGATTCAAGTCATGGAAAGAGAACTTTCTGAAGCTTTGCGTTGCACAAGAAAATACCTCTATGTAGGTATTTTCAAAATCATTTTATCCTCTTTAATCCCAGAAGCAGTGTGTGTGATGTCTAATTTAGGTTGACTTTTATTATCCACCTTGCTCTTAGGTATCCATCATAAATCCTTTCATGGACAAAGTTACATGGTTTTGCTCTCATTTTCTGCATGCTTTAGAGATCATCTGTTCTTTCAGCAGTTTGGAAGAGTCGTAATGCTTTATGTTTCTTTGCCTCTTGGCTCAGATAAAATTTTCAGGGATAGTGTGATGCAGAAGTGTATTCTGTTAAACAAAGAGTATTGGCTGATTATATAGATATATATGCATAGCTGCTGGGAAACCAGGAAGTTCGCAGTACTGGTGCCAGGGGGTTTTGACAGTTAAAGTCTAACCAGGACATACCTAGAAGCAGGTATGGTGGCCAGCTTTGCAACTGAAGAACAACAGGAAAGATCTTGTTGGCAAACCTGTGAAATCTGATACTTTGAAAATGAAACAGTTGTTTAAGTCTAGTTTCGTGTTTTCTGCTTTGGTGCTGGCATCATAAGCATTTGCAGCACAGTGTGTTTGCTGCTTCTCGTTTCTCGTTTGAGATCCAGCTGGTCAGCCTGGTTTGTGATGACTCAGTCGCTGCTGCTTCAGGACTGTGAACTGCTGTCTGTGAAGTCTCTCAAATGTGGCTTTGTGCTGGCTGGAGCCTAGGATGAAGAAATATTACCCAGCTACTGCTTCATGTCCCTCATCTTTCTTTGTTGTGTGTCTACAAGTATCCCTGTCCCCATGCAGAGGTGGAGTCACTCCCTGTGTGTAGGGCTTCTTACCTCTATGTTTATCTATGTTGAGGTCTGTACTGAACGAGGGGAGAAGTCTCTCCTTAGATCAGCAGTAGTGCTGGTAGATGAGGGAGGAGGCGGTGGTGAAGTTTTAATTTTACAGTTTTCTAGATGTTGGAAAAATAGTGATAGTTCTTTCCTCCCATCCGTTTAATTTTGGTGTTTGTTTTCCGTCATGGTTAGTTTAGTTCTTGTATGTATGTGGTTCAACACACTAAAAACACTTCATGTGTAAACTGTTGCAGTAGGAGCTGCTGAGGGTCAACTGTTTCTCTAGTGTCACAAAATCCTCTGGGCTTTGTGATTTGGCTTTTTTTTTTTTTTTTTTTTCTTGTTTGTTTCAGGGTTTTGTTTGTTTTGTTTGTTTGTTTTTTAATATTCAATTGTAACCTCTTAATCATTTAACCATGTTACTGTATATAAGTGCATCTTCCATGTTTAGTATTGAAATTCTTGTAGGTACAAGAAATTTACTAATTTAATTTTATTGTTTTCTTCATTTTTTAAATATTCCTAACAAATCATCACGGACTATTTAACAAGACTTAAAACAACTAGTTCTTGATCAGGACCTTTTTAGACTAGGCAATACTGCACCATTTTTCATTTCCCTTTGATTCCTAACATAAAGGCTGCACTGAAGTTCAGACCCTGCAAAAGCTGACACCATGTACTTTACTTGACTATTTTGATTGAATGTATCAAATATTAATTATCATACAATTTAGATTTTATATATACTGGCTTATTTAGTGAACTAACATTCCATAAAATTTTATGGAAACAAGGCTGGCAATTAAAGGGGAAAAAAAAAAACCCTGGAGAAGCATTTTTCACTTACACTTCTATTATTTATTCACCATGAACAGTTTTAACCCCCTCCACTCCAAATGATCCCAAATGAAAATCTTCAAAATTACCAAGGGTTAAATATATATCATTTAGCACCTAAGCATTTGAAGTGTGATATGTGTACTAATGTTCTGCTGTAGGTAGTTTACAAACTGAAGTCAAAATACCACAGGAGAAAAAGATTCTCTCTCCTCCCCCCCCCCCCCGCCCCCCTTTACATCTGTAGTACTAAAAAAGTGAATAATTTCCCCAAGAGCAGAGAAACTCTGGACTAATCCTGGATTTTAAGGTAGTATTCCAGCCTAATTACTGCTTTGTGTTTGTATATGGGGAAGAGGGAATAGTGGCAGCTTTTCATTTTGTTCTCCCAGTCTGTCTTCTTGAATATTTCTATGAGGTCAAGAGGACAAGTTTATTTTAGTCATTCCATGCTGTTATGTCTTTTGTAGTTCACAGATACTTGTTTCAGATACATGTTTTATATTTGCAGGTAGATGTTTCAAACATAATACGTTAATGTGTCTTGCAAGTTCATCTATAGATGCATCAGTTGCGCCTATTCACCAGTTTCCAAATGACTGATTTCTATAGGGTTTCTTGGGAAGAGAGGAAAGGCTAAGATGTAACAGACCCTTTCTCTGTTTCTGTATCCTTGTGGAACAAATTTATTGCATTACTCTGTTTGTTATTCTTATTGCTAGCCCAAGTCCGAATTTTTCTTTGAAGATTTTTACATGCTTTTTGATATGCAAATTTCTATGTTACTACAGGTCTATTGTTAACAATGTGACAGTACTGGATGAAAAGATTAACTGATCAGCTCTGGAATACTAGTCTCGTTCCTTGATTTAAACAGTATGCTTAGACAGTATGGTATGCTCTCCAAATATACCATTAAAAATAGTGTCTTTTGTCACTATCTATGCTCAGATTTGGGTTTTTTGTTTGGTCTCAGACCTAATGAATATTTTCATTGTATGAGAGAATAAATCAAGAGCTTTTTAGTGACAGCTTGCAGAGTTTTGGCTGAGATTGGTTTACAGGAATGAAAATTGACATTGTTTAAGAGCCAGACAGTGTTACATAAAAACCTGGACAGTTTACAGCATTTTCCAACCAGTAAGATGAAAACAGGATCAATCAGAAAATAAAACAAATGGGATAATTGAGGAACTGAGGCAAAGCGAGCTTTACTGAGCAATTTAGGACCAAATCCAGTTTAACAACTCTGGAAAATAGAAATGCTGAACAGACGAGAACAGACAAATGGCAGCCTGACTTTGGCTTATTCTGTTTTGCTAATTTTCTGTCTAAAGCAGTTGTTTTAAGAGAGGAGTGATAATTTCTTCATGTATTAATTCAAAATAATGAGACCTTTCAAATAATAAGTAGAATTTTGAGAACAATAGAAGTTTTAGGAGGATATATTATGCTCTGTGGTAGATGTTACAGGACTAATGAGAGCATTAAAGCAAAGGAGATTTAGAGCAGCATGGTAGAGGTGGACTGTTTAACATCAAACTGCTGCCACTGTATGAGAAAATGGGATTAAGATTTCTTCTGTACTTTGCCAGAGCATAGGTTAATTAAGGTCATCTGGTTATGTTTCTGCAAGAATAAAGGAAGCCCCGTTATTTGATGTTACGTGTTTAATTCAAAATAATTTTGACTTTCATGGAAATACCGTCCTATTTTTGCTGACCTAACTGTAGCATTTGATGTCTTGGTATACCCAGAAGTTATATAGTTTAGGTCATTTAAACTTCCTCCTCAGTTTTTCATTTCATATGCCCATCTGAATCCAATGAGTTGTAGCAAATCTGATCCACAAGCCACAAATGTTGAAACATAATTCTAACTGCTGCATTCCCCAAGATGTTTCCATGTAAACAGCGTGAGATAATTTTGCAATGACATTTTATTATTTATTTAATCCCATTTCCCAGACCACCGATATACTTCCAGATTTTTGAGCTTGTAAGCAAATTTCTCTTTGATGATCAACTACAAAGCATTTTAAAGCTCTTAATAGTTTTGCTTGGACAGTTGTACTATTTTCATTTTTATTTAGACTTATAAGTTTAAAATGTTTCTTGAAGTTGGGGTAGAGAGAATAAACAGTTTGAATTTGTGTCCTATGTGGTACTAACTTTAGTTAGAATAGTCCGGCAGCCTTGGCATCTTGCCCTGCAACCTTGCACATAGACCTCCAAGAGAGCTACTGCTTCTGCAGTTGACTATCAAAGTAGTAGTAGTTTAAGTTTGTGGAAATCTGTTTCTTAATGCAAGAGATTTATTTATTGTTCCAAAATATTTATTCCTAAT